TTGTCACATTACCTAAATTCACACACATGAGCGAGCATGCTCTGAATGGTGTAAATATTTAGAATGACAGACACGTAGGGTGCTGTCACCATGGGGGGCTGGACTCGAAGTAATGGCACTCTTTCATGCAAACAGCAGGTGAGGAAATGTGATGGCAGTTTGCCTCATAATGAGATCTTTGCTTCCGTTTGGTGGAAATGAGTGAGGGGAAAAGTGGAAAATGCTGTTTCTGGCTTCAGGAATGAATGAACCGTTCCTCTAGAGCACGATATTGTTGCAATCATAAATGTTAAATATTGCTCATAACAAGGTCCTGATGGGCTTTTGCTATCATATTTGAGGGCTGCAAAAATCCACTCATGCTCCCTCTTTTTGTCTTTCAGAGCTCCTCGGGTCTGCAAAGAAAGTGAATGTCAACTTCCAGGATACAGATGGGTGAGTTACCCTCCTTTTCTTCTTCCATATATCATGTCTCCATCCCATCTGTACCCATCCCAGGCCAGCTTCCCCCCTCCTTTCTCCTGCTTAACAGCATCCCCAAGCAGCATTATCATAGTGCTTTTACTTCTCTCTTTACAGTATTAAAAGCTGGGGGATTAGCCCATATACCACTCAGCTCAGAATGTCGTGTTTATTTATGCGTGTGAGAGTATTAAAGGCATGATATTAGGTATTACATCTAAGCACTTTCACCTCTTTGCTCCCATTTTGTCATTGAAAGCATCGCGTGCGCCCAGTACGCGGCTACGGGCCCGTCGGCTCTCATTGGGGAGCCGCCACTTGAAATCCACCAGACGATGGTAAAACAAAACTGCAAACAGAACTGTGGCCCACTTCCATGCAATCTGGTGTGTTATGTAACGGAACAATTTGGAGAGACAGACTTTTGTTTCTTTGACAAAAGGCTGGGGAAACATAAAAAGGGATTCTCAATGTGAAAAATCAGGTGATTTGTTGTCTGCAGGCTACAACTGGCGAGAAATCAAAGTGAGTGGCAGCTCACACAGACAGGTGGAGGAAAGGAGGGCCAAAAAAAAAGTCAGGGGTTGATATGGCCGTCATTAAACAGGCTGTGGAGACGACTTGCATCACTTTAACGCAATGTAGTGGAAATGCAGTGCAATGATGTTGTTGTTTTTCCCCGTGTTTCACATATGGATCATATTGCAGTCTGAAGGTTAACGCTAAACTCATCGTGCAGTTTATTTTCAGTCGTCCTTGGTTGGTTTGTGGCTGTTTCTCCTGCGAGTATTTCAAAGAGAAATGAAGCCGTGGCTGATCTGGGATTCTGGCTCAGCATAATGTGACAGAAGTGAAGTCTGTTTCAAAAATGCTTCTCATCGTTTTCATAAACTTAATGGTATTTCTTTCATTTGATTTTATAGACCTGATATTACATGTTTGATCTTTAAGTATGTTTTAGCGTCAGTGTGTAAAAGGTGCTTTACAGTAATGACAACTTAATGTGTTAAAAATTAAAAGTTAAATAGATAAAACTGATAAAATTTCACTTCAATCAAAAGTCAGGGTTCTCCTGGGAACACATAAAACTTTAAAAGTGATTTTATGCTCTATGTCTCACCACAGTTTAATACCAGAGGTCTACAGAGAGGTCTGGTACCTGTTTGCATCCTGATATGATTTGTAAAACTCTACAAACATGGTTTTAGTTTGTCATTATGGGTTATTGTTCTGAAGTTGAAGGGAAAAGAATCCAGAATTGCTACATTTTAACCTCCAGCTCCATACATCTTCATCTTTGTCTGTAATAGAGTAGCTTTGCATGATTAGTTGTCCGAAATAATCCCCTTGTATCTTGCAATAGGTCTTGGTGTCCCTCAGAGACCATGCAGTTTTAGTTCCATTCCCTTTAAGCTATCTCTCTTCTGATTGGCTGTCCCTTGCAACCAAAACATTTATTTTAATTTGAATAGTGGGTGGAGCTTCTGTGCTCGCAGCCAGAGTTGTATGCCTGAGGTGACCGTATTGGGGATGTGGGCTGAGCTTTTGGCTCATTTGTACCTGCAATGATCCCTTGATTTAATGGTCATGTTTAATATGAAATCCACCACGGTTTATATACCTTGATGTCATATACAGCAGCGGTTCCCAGGCCCCGGACTGGTACCGGGCCGTGAATCATTTGGTCCCGGGCCGCAAGAGTTGAGGCTCGGGTGTGAAATTTATGGTTTTCAGGGTTTTCATCCCGTGTTGTAGTTGTGTGTCTTATTTTGAAATAAATATTTACGTGTTACCATAGCGACCAGAGAGCATTAAGGGGCAGAGAGGAGGACGTTACTCTCAATGTTGTTGGCGCATTTCAGGAGGACGCTGCTAATAAAGTTACACAATTACACCATGGATTCGTGTTTATTATTACATGTACAATATACCACAGTTTTTGTCTTGGTCGTATCTTTTTTTTTGTGTTTTATTTATCTGCGACATCTTAAAGGCCGGTCCGTGAAATATTGTCTGACATTAAACCGGTCTGTGGCACAAAAAAGGTTGGGGACCGCTGATATACGGGATCACATTTATGGTGCAGTAGCCTGTAAACAGCAGAGGGCTTAGATTCTGCATCAAATGCTACCAATTTCAGGGCTCTTGCAGGCTTCTTAAACCCTTCAGCAGACTGTTTCAGACTGTTCTCGCTTCATCCGGTTGTTCAGTGATGACGCGACGAATCCTACTTCCGGGCCTAAAGTAGTCTGCGTTTAATATGGCTTTTGTGTTGTTAACATGTTTAATGTTTTGTATTTTCTTCTATTTGATCTCAAAAAGCTCCTAAAACAGTCAGTGATCACTGTTGACCTCCCTCGGCTTTTATTACCGCTAATCATTTATTTAAGCTCAGTTTTTAAAACCTTAGGATGTACTACAGCCCAGCCCATGCAGCAGTATATGAATGACTAACCTCGTATTGTGGATGGATTATCTCAGTTGTTCTCCTGGCTGAAGTTTGGTCCTTTTACAGCATCCTGCCATGCGATTACATTTGTTCCTGACCACCGAGAACACTCACGTTAACTTTTATCGAGTGGAAAAAAGTTAGCTTGTTTATATTATGCTAACATAGCTGTGTCGCTAGCGGTCACGTAGCACATCATTATATACCAGCTAGCCCAACTTCAGTAACCCTACAAACGTCACTGCTGTTTAGTTTTCTGTCTTCATTTATGTTGGAAGTGATAACAGAGCTGTACGTTTTAATTTGTTTCCAAAACCCCGCAGTCAGGACATGCTATATTGTATTTAGATAGAAGCTAGCGAGCTAACTCCCTGCTAACTTCTAACTCCGTTAAATGTCATAAATTCCGTTTTCATGGATGCCTGGATGTTAAACTCAATTGTTACACCTGGTAGAGCAGAACGCTGATCATTTTATTAAAGATGAAAGACTTTAGACAGTTTTTCAACTCTCAGTAATGCCATAGTGATCGTTTGATATATGGACCTGCAGCGGAGTTTAGGCCCAGACACGGCTAGTGACGTCAGACTTAACGACCGCATAGTGTCAAGAATGCTATGGAGCAAGACAAACTGCATTTAGGCACTCATCTAGAAGAAATTCTCCAGACCTTCCTAGGCAGAACAGATTATGAGAGAACTATTTTTCTTCATCCGGATCAGTCATAGGACAGAGGGTGTTTCGTACTGTTCAGGCTGTGCAGCCTCTTGAGGCAAGCCTGTGATCTGACATATTGAGCTATACAAATAAAGCTGACTTGACCCGTCACCCTTTATAAACATGCCAAAGGACCTATCCAACAATGACATGTACATTGCAGTGAAATAACTAAAACCATGCAAAAATAAAAAGGAAACAACATTTTTATCAGATATATCTGTGCAGTTGTCTTATAAAAATCACTTATACTCAAGTTTTCCATTCAAGCCTGGTTATGTGAAACAAAATACTGACTTTAACTAGTTTGATTACAATAAATTTTCTCCTGTACGTTTGTTACATGAGTACAATGTGAAATGCTGAATTTAATGGAATATGGTTAAATGAAAATTACTTGATTAATATACATTCAGTTTATAACAAGCACATTTTCCTTAAAGATTAGCTGCATGAATAAATAAACCATTGCTTTAAGGCAGACATTCGTCAAACGAGTGTCCCAGACGGCATACTGTAAATCCCCTGCTAGCACCTTTTTGCACTTCACAACAATCAATGATGGTTAAAAAAAAACACAGCGTCATCTGAAACACACTTCCAAGAAAACAACAAAGGAGAGACGTTATGATATTCTTTCTATGTCTTCTCTTTGTTGTGTTACAGTTATGTTTGAGTTGGGTTTAATGAGGGTTGTAAAGGATTGTGCGGAGGTGGAAATGGAGGCTGCGAGTGCTTGTTATTGGGCCGTCAGAATGCGACGGCCATGAAACGATCAGTAAATCAACTTTAAATTCTCCCGGTGACTCACTTCACCCTCATTCACATGCTAGCTCTCTATTCCTCCTTTCTAATATGCACCCTCGCCTATGAATCATATCCAACAATTCTTGTGTTACTAACAGAACCACAAAAAAACGTAGCCGACCCCTGATGGGAATCAAGAAATTGATAGAAAATTAGCCAAACGAGCGAGGCTGCTGCAGGAGTGTCTTCGATGTGCATTCTTTCAGATGCATGAACTGCTAACTAAAGTTAGGTTATATCTCTCAGTGCATCCCAACATGTGTTACTCTTGGTGGAAATGACAGTAGGTGGAACACTTGCATGGATCTAGATAATTCTGGGCTGTATTTGAGAGCCACTTAGTCATTTTTAAATAAAACAATAGGGAGGGGCTGGCCTCTCCCTTAGAGATAGGGTGAGAAGTTCGGCCATCCGGGAGGGGCTCAGAGTAGAGCAGCTGCTGCTCCACATCGAAAGGAGCCAGCTGAGGTGGTTCGGGCATCTGGCAAGGATGCCCCCTGGGCGCCTCCTGGGCGAGGTGTTCCAGGCATGTCCCACCGGGAGGAGGCCCCGGGGCAGACCCAGGACACGCTGGAGAGATTATATCTCTCGGCTGGCCTGGGAACGCCTTGGTATTCCCCCGGACAAGCTGGAGGAGGTGGCTGGGGAGAGGGAGGTCTGGACCTCTTTGCTTAGGCTGCTGCCCCCGCGACCCGACCTCGGATAAGCGGATGAAGATGGATGGATGGATGGACAATACTTTCTAAACCAAAACAGGAAACTACATTTTTACATTGAGCCCTACTCCCTGTGATTAACACTCTTCTCATAGAGCTGAGAGGATTGTACTACCAGAAAGCAACATTGCAGAGATTGAGGATAGCTAAGTATCCTGGAATCCCACAGGCAAATGGTAATCAGGAAGAGGCCGCTGGGAAAGCTGCAACCACCAAATGCCGACAGGGTGTAAGGGAATGCCTGAAGAGTCTGTTGAATGGGAAGAACAAGATCAGGACAATTA